CATACAATAGCAACCTTGTTCAAATCTGCTGAAATGCTCCAATAATCACTAGGATCCTGAACTATAAAATGAGCATAAGGTTTATTCATTTAAATCTAACAGGAGAATTCATAAAAGACACCGCGAATGTTAAAAGTTGTGAAGAAAACGTATCTGTATCTTTCTAACAAAATTTTGAGCACTGCTAAAGGCATTCACATCCGCCACCATATCTGACATCGTTATGAAAAAGCAGCCTAACCCAATAAAAATATTCACATCCTCCTTCGCAGATCACTAAATGGAATTACGAGAGACAGTTGGTGACAAAAAAGCCCTCCTGGAATAAATAAAGGTAAGCAATGCCTATCAATCAGCCTTTTCAAGATGTACACGTATATTCTTCAGAATATGATCCCTAAGATGACAGCTCCCTAAGATGATGAACTTCAGTGGCTTCGTGGCGGTTTCAACAGCTATAGTGCAATGGGGCCTGCTACCCTTTTCCGAGGTTAAAAGAAATGCTTCTCCCTCTGTCCAAGTGGGTCACTGCAGCTTTTCTCTTTGTTCAGCCTTTTCGGTGGAGGTTGCCAAGTTCTAACATGGTTCACTGCATAATTTAAATATGGGAAGTGGTTAAGGCCAAAGAAGGTAAAAGGCCAATGCTGCTGAGCAGGGGTGAGTATGTGTGTGGACTTGTGGACCAGGGCAGCTGAGATTTAGGTCACCTGTGGGGAGAGAGCTTCCAAGCACTAGATCCTCATTGTTTACCGGTATTCACACTTTCCTCTCCTCGTTTTGTTTTTGTAATGTTCTAAATGATGAGCCATCTTTTAAAGGCCTTCAAGGTAATTTACAATGACTTTAAATAACAATGATCCAATCGTCCTATAAACAGAACTGCCACACTCTGTAAATAGAACTGGCAAGATCGCGGGGCAGGTGGGGGGGGCAGGAAAATATGAACTCCCTGGGGTTAACCACCCCCTTCTCCCCAGTGTCTCTCTCTTCTTTGTTGAGTTCCTGAAAGCACAGCCCAGAGAATTCTAGAAAGACCTAAAGAGGATAAAACCCTCCTGTGGAGATGTATAAGACTTGTACGTTTTCCCTGTTCTGTCACGAATGTTTTAGGTTTTCTTCACTTTCTTTTGTTCTCTATGGCATATGAGAGTATTAGAATTATACCTTATAGGCAGAACAGCAACACGCGAACAACAAGGCAACACATCTCAAGCCTCAAGACTTATACAGATTATTCTACTTTCCTATCCACGAGAGCTATCTTAGTTAGGACCTTGGTGTGTGATCTTACTTAGAAGTGGAATTTCCAGATGTTATCCAGTTGAGATGCATCCAGCTGCAGCAGACCCTTACTCAATAGGACGGATGTCCTTTTAGGGGCGGAAAATGTCGTGTGCAACCAGAAAGCACTAGGTGAGTGTCCTGTGGTGACACGGAAGAGAGTGTCATAATACAGCCAAAACCCAAAGAATGCCAAGGGACCGGTCAGCGCCAAAGCTAGCAAGAAGCAAAGAAGAGCTTGCAGGGTTTTGGCCTTTTGGATTTTCAGCTTTCAGAACTGTGAGAGTATATGTTTGTGCTCTTTCTTTCTTTTGCTTTTGTTTTGTTTTGTTTTTTTGGTCTGGTCGTGGGGCCTGAACTCTGGGCCTGGGCGCTGGTCCCTCAGCTCTTCAGCTCAAGGCTAGTACTCTACCACTTGAGCCACAGTGCCACTTCCAGCTTTTTTTTTTCTGCTTATGTGGTGCTGAGGAATCGAACCCAGGGCCTCATGCATGCAAGGCAAGTGCTCTACCACTGAGCCACCTTCCCAGCCCTCTTTTGCTTTTTTAAAGAACTACTTAGAAAGCTAAAAGCAGACGTTATCAAGACTGCAGATATGGCAATCTTCACTGAAATAGGTGTTATCAGAAGGTGAGAGGGATGTTAAAGGAAGTGAGGGAAGACGTGGTGGAGGGAAGGGTGGCCAGGTACAGTCGAAGTACTCAGCACACTAAGTGAAAACAGAACCGAGGACCATGAAGGAATGGGTGGGGTTGTGAGAGATGAGGAAGAACTGTGGAAGGGGTGCCAATGATCCAGACACATTGGACTCACACACCAGCATGTCAAATTGAAACTCCTGGATATAATTACTTAAAGATAACTTTAAAAAAAATGGTTCAAAAAAGAAGGGAAGAAATAGCCGGGTGCTGGTGGCTCACGCCTGTAATCCTAGCCACTTAGGAAGCTGAAATCTGAGGACTGCAGTTCAAAGCCAGCCCAGGCAGGAAAGTCTGTGGATGAGACTGTTATCTCCAATGAACCACCAGAAAACCAGAAGTGGTGCTGTGGCTCAAGTGGTAAAGTGCTGGCTTTGAGCTGAAGAGCTCTAGGATAGCGCCCAGGCCCAGAGTTCAAGCCCCACCACTGCCAGGAAAGAAAAAAAAGGGGGGGAGGAAAGAAATAAAATAATAGACTACCACCATGCCTGTAGTAAATCCTAATTTTATTTTACCACCCATAGCTTAACCCCTACTCATAGATACCATCAGCTCCATCGCCTAACTTTACTCCACAAGGGCACTGCCCCCTTGTCTCTGGGCACAGACAGCAAAGGGAATGCCCACACACTGACAAAAGCCACTTCTGTGGATGCTTGATCATACAGTGGAAGAGTTTTGAAAGCAATCAGAGAGGGAGAACACAAGGTTCTCTGTGAGCCGCTGCCCCCACGCTGTGGAAAAACCACTGGAATCACACATGCTCCTGCGTGCTCTTGTCCCGGCAGTGCTTACCAGCGGCCAACAGCTGGCTACCCCCTCCTTCCTTCTTGATGACCTTGGTTCTCCCCCAGGTACAGTGCTGATTATAATAGATTATAACTCCCAGCCTCCTCTGTCAGGTGTGGTCAGCTGATTAAGTTCAGGTCAAGATGAAAGACTCTGCACTATTCAAGATTTTTGTATCCCTGACACAGAAAACCTGCCTGGAATGCAGGTTGTATAGCCGGAGCTCTAGAAGCGATTTTAGAGTACAAAGTGACCCCACCCTTCCAGACAAAAGACCCCGTGCTAACGAAGACAGAACAAGAAGGCACCAGGCCCAGTCCTGGATGATACTCTTAGTACCTTTTGCTGACTGCAGATTCCTTCATGTGGAAGCAATACAGACTCTTATTTTATCAAGCCCCTGTATGAAGGATTAGCTACTTGATATATAGAAATTGAACAAAATCATCATTGACATGTCTTATCACACAGTGCAAGGAGCCTGCCTGCCTTGAGACAAGACATTTTATACTTTCTCCCGTGTAGAAATTCTTTCAATCATCCTAAGGTTACACAGCCAAACGCGCCTGTCAGGAAGTTCTACCCTAGCACCTTTCCACAGGAACAAAAGCTTGAGAGCAGCGCTGCCTGGGTGCTTTCTTTCTTACTGATTCCAGTGTCTTATGGCTCCAATCTCAGCTGCATGACAATGCAAGGCATCTCTGAGAAAACACACTGAGTGCAGCCACTGTTCAAACATGGCCTGGTTATCAACTTCATTCCATATGCCCCAAACCACAGGTGACCCTATAGTTATAAGGCACTGAATTAATGCACAAAATCACCAATTATTTTTATGTAAGCACCGGAAACAATAACAACAGGGTATTAAGAATTGCAATGGTATGAGGAAGGTATGCCATAGCTTTGTTAGTCCTCAGAAAACATATGAGAATCTTAAATAGATGGGTTTAGGAGATATTCACACATACACACACACACACACATTACAGCAGTAACAATAGGTACAAGCTATAAATCGACAAATACTGCAAGACTTTTATCGTACATGCACTCTATTGGATGTATGTTACTTACAATTCAAAATAAATACCTTAGGGGTGACATTGATCAAGATACATTATACTCACAAACTGACATGTTCAATTGAAACCCCTTTGTACAACTACTTAAAGATAACAAAAAGGAAGACAATAAATGAATAAATAAATATGACAGTCCCTTTTTTTACAGAAGAGGAACTGAGCAGCTCAGAGGGAAAATTATTTAGTAAGATTGCAGCCAGCTTGTGGCAGAGATTACAGCCAAACCCAGAATAGCCTATAAGCTTAAAAGTTTTAGCTGTTCAATCCTGTCTCTCCAAATAGTCTGTGAAAAAAAATTAAAGAGAATTTTTATTTGCTTCTCCTTAGAATTACAATTAAACAGTCTTATGTGTCTATCTCTGCTTTATATTAAATGAGCATTTCTTACACTTAAAATGGAGAAACAAACAAAGAAACCTGGTAGAATTTGTCAATAAATATTAAATAATGTTAGAAAACAAATGAAATGAATCACAAAAGTGTTCTACCTCATTCTGCTCTTCGCTGACACTTGCACTTCAGCTGACCAATACATTTCCCCAATAAAAGTAAGTTATCAACAGCAGGTCTGAAAATTAACACCCTCAGGACATGTTCTTGCATAACTGCAGCCCTGTATGGCATTTCTTCTGAAAGAGTTCTGCTTTTCATTTTTCGCCTCTTTGTGGGGCTTGCTTTTTAATAAAAGTAGAAAACACTGAAAGAAATCAAGCCCTCAAAGCATTCATTGACTGTGTCCAAAATTAAGCCAGGATTCAGGCAACGTATATTTAAAATATATGTGCACATTTGTGTGGATGTGGCTATTTCTGTTTCGTGTAAAGATCAGTGTTTTAAAGACAGCAATTGCATTCGCAGTTTATGATTAGAATAATGAGTATTTTCTTTGGCTGTTGAGAGTTAAAGAATGAAAATATTCCTCTAAGAAAATCAAACAGAAGGTTAGAGCGCCCTCTTTCTTCTCCTTGAAGAGATTCATCCAAGTTCCTCTCAGGAGGCAAGTTACCAAGCCCAGAGCTAGCTATCCTTAGGCTCTGAGCCTGGGTTCTCATTCTACATTACAGCTATCCGAATATACTGGCCGCAGATTACCCATACATGACTTAAAGAGTAGAAGAAAAAAACATTTAAAAGAAGAAATACTCACAAAGCCATTTCAAACTGTTCCAGCCATTTTTTCTTTAAATCTTTTGTTTTGCAATAAAATTCTAGCCCATTCTGTCCCTGGATATGGATGAGGTAGAAGCCGTAAGACCACTGTCAAAATTAATATTCTCTGGGTTAGTATGTTCCATTTATTAGGGGGAAAAATCATGTTACCCACATCACTAAAGCATCAATATAACCACCTAAAACTCCTTGGTAACATAATCAACTTACAATGTATACACAAGCAGGCTTATATTGTAGTCCACTTTGTATCTATGATAAATTCATTTCACTGACTTGATCTTAGGACCTTAGCAATGTTCAGATCACAAATGTCTGTGCCTTACCTGTCTGTTAAAAAACCAAAACATTTCAATCAAGAAGTCACATTTTACTTTAACGGAAGCAGGTGAGACTATATTCATCTCAACCCTGGGCAACAAAATATTTTTTTAAATTGCCTCTGGACTGGTCATGTTCAGACTTTTATAATTCTTATTACCTTTCCAAAACAATACAGTGTAAAGCAGCCAGGCAGTATACATAATCTAGAGATAAGAATGCCTAAATTATATGTAAGTCTTGTGCCATCTTATATGAGGGGCTGAAACGCCTGCAGTAGTGGGAGGGGTTCTGGAAACCAAGGGATGGTGTGTATATTAGCATATGATTAGCATATTAGCATCCTGACTATTCAAGATTATGAATACATTATAGATGCTAATGTCTGAGAAGTCACCTTTTTATTTTCCTTATCCGTGGTAGGATTATTGGCTATTTTGTACTGCTGCAGATCTATGATTTCCTTCATTTCATAGTTATCACCTTTCCTCTTACAAACAATCACGGCCAGATCAAATAAGAAGATATGCCTGCGAAAGAGAGAGAGAGAGAGCGATTGGTCATGATTACATGCTCTAGAAGCATGCATATTAATCTCTCCGGGTAAGATGTGACTACACCAAGCAAATATTAAAGGCATTCAAGGCAGAGCTGCACAGGGAGGACTGAGGAGCCAGACCTCTGAGGGCCAGGCCTAGGGAAGCAGGTCCTTTAGCATGTGAATGGCCTCACTGCATCTTGGTCCCCTCATTTAAAGCCAGGCAAAATCCCAAGAGCAAGAAACATACTGCAGAGTTGTTGAGAGGGTGAACTGAAATAAGGCAGAAACACTTGTCCCTGACTGTTGCTCTTTTTATATTTCAAAGCTCAGCAAAGCCTTAAAATGGTTAAGATACTAGGCATGGTCTATGAACTTCCACCCATCCAATCCCATTGCCCAGACAAAGGTCCATCCCTTTCACAGGGCTATGTAAAAACATCATCTGCATCTCACTGGGGAGTAAGCCAAAGAAAAGATAATTCCATAAAGGTTAAACCACCCAATGCTTGCACCCAGGGATAACTTTATTTTTATTGTGCCAGGATTGGGGCTTGAACTCAGAGCCTCACCATTTTCTCTTGGCTTTTTTCACTCAAGGCTGGGGCTCTACCCACTCCACCCACACCTCAACTTCTAGCTTTGTGGTGGTCAACTGCAGAGTCTCATAGACTGTTCTGTCTAGCTGACTTCAAATGGCAGTCCTCAGAACTCAGCCTCCTGAGTAGCTAGCATTACAGATGTGAGCCACCAGCATCTGGCCAGGCTCACTTTAGAACCTGTGCTTTTCCCCTTGCTGTAGCACTTCATGACTGAATTAATAGAACACCCAAAATACAAAAAAGTTTACAGGTGAGCAAAAGATAAACTACAGAAGTGAAGGTCAAATTGTCCATATCAATATTTCTCTTTTTTTTCCCTCCTTGTTTTTTAAAAAAAGACAATGTTGAAATGTGTGGAAGAAAACAAACCTCCCTGACACTACCATCCAATATCATTATCTGTGTGCTTTCATAGCCGTCCATGATTAACACAGATAATATTAAACATAGTGATGATGACAACAATGACACAGCACAGAACTCTAACACTTTCATCACTTTTAAAGTCTAAGGTTTTAAGGATTCTGTGTGGCTCTTGAGGCCACCTGTGGAGCCTGGGGATTCAAGGTGGAAGGAAGAGCTGATGCTGCCCCCTGCTGGCTGATGTTTTGCTTCTCCAAAGATTTCAGGAAACAACCACAAAGCATCAGTTTGACAATCGTATCTCTAATATTACCCACACTTAAAGGACTTAATTTTCAAAGACTCCACTGAAAAGAAAAATTCCCAGAAGAAAATATACCACTACATGGTACTCACTAGTGGTCTTCTTCTTTAGGATATTTTCTATTACATGTAAGTTATTTTTTTTAATGAATATCAAAAAAGGTGTGCTCCTATGATGGTCATCCACCATAAAATGGAACTCCATCCCCATTACAATTTCAATGCATACTTTTTAAAAATAGGTGGTCCTCAACATTTTTAAGAGCTTACACAAATGAGCAAGTACTAGAACAGAAAGGGACGTGATATCTGTATTATAATACCATGAGGTATTCATCAATAGCAGACACAGTATCATAGCCATCTATGATATCTCTCTTAGAAAATTTTATGAACTGCAGTTCAGTCTGTCCCTCGTTTTTTCTTTGTCTCTTTCCCTTTTCCTTTATCATAAGGAAGTTGCCTGAAGGATTTCTCCATCTTTTGATACTAATTACTTATTTTCACAACCAATATTGCTCTCTTCTTCTCACCTTTCTTGTTTTGTGTGCTTGTCCAGAGTAGTTATTCGAATTTCTCCATCTCCTTGAGGCCGTCCAAACAGTAAAACTGGTTGGTTCTAAAATATAAAATGGATCTGTCTGATTTCTTCATCATCACATAAAAACAGAAATAAGTATCAGTAAAGATTGTGTCAAGGGCCACTAACTAATTACATTATAAATGTTATCATATTTACATATTTTTAAATAAATGACTCTGAAAAGCCCAGGACTCCATCACATTTTCTTTTTGGTATGGGTCTTAGGGCTTGAATTCAGGGCTTAGGCAGTTTCTGAGGTTTTCAGGGTTGTGTTTTTGTGTTTTGTTTTGTTTTGTTGCTTAAGATACTACATGACTTGGGCCACAGCTCCATTTTAGGCCTATTTGGTGGTTAACTGGAGATAAGAGTCTCACCGACTTTCCTGCCCAGGCTGGTTTCAAACTGCAATCCTCAGTCCTCAGCCTCCTGAGTAGCTAGGATTACCAGCGTGAGGCACCAGTGCTCAATTCCATGACACATTTTCGAAAAGATGTCTGTCCTTTGTAAGCCCAGAGTAAATATTTAGGACATTAATTAATCCTACTTATAATTATCTTAAGCGGGAAGTTAGGTACCAAGAGAGAGGAACAACTGGGTGAATAGGAACCACAAGGAAAGTGTAGCAGGAATAGTTGGAGAACGTCCGTGGTATGGTTGGCACTGTACCATCCACAAGGCGAGTTGGTGGAGCCCCACTTCCTGGGAACAAAAATTCACAGAAGCATCTAATTACAAATGCACAATGACCCTGCAGGCAGAGAATAGGAAGGGAGATGTAAAGCAGTCTACATAGGCAGGGATGGCTTCCTTGGTGTATGATGTCAAGGATGAAAAAGTCCCCCAGAGGAAGAAATTAAAAATACTGTAAAGTATTTATAAGCACTTATAGTACTTACTAAGAAAAAAAATTGATTTGAGATCATCACTAACATCTAGAGATTCCATTGTGATAAAAGGCACAGATGTCTGCTTTGTTAACTCCATTACACAAAAGCATTAAAAAATATGTTCCCTGTCAAAATTCCAAAGATGTTTGTTGGAGAAATAGAAAAATTCCATCCTAAAAGTCATATGGAGTCCTGGATAACCAAAACAACCTTAAAAAGGAACAAAGCTATCTCAAACTTCCTGACTTCCAAAATTATTATAAAGCTACAATGATCAAAATGAATGAAGACAGACATAGAGACCAATGGAATAGTAGAGAGACCAGAAATAGGTTTTATTTGTTTTTATCATACATAAATGGACCCAATTTCAATAGAATATTCAATGGGAAAAGAAATGTCAATTCACCACAAATGGTATAGGAAAACCATCCACAAGCAAAAGAATACAGTTTGACTCCTCACTTTATACCATGTATTAAGAATTCAAAATAGACCAAAGACCTACACATAGAAGCTAAAATTATTGAAGATGTTAAAAGAAACCAGAGGAAAGTTATTATATTGGATCTAGAAATGCTCTGTTAGCTATAAAAAAAGTGTAAGCAAAAAAAGATAAAATGGATAAACTAGAATTGATCCCATTAGAGACATCATCCAGGAAGTGTTTACCAATAATTTTTGTCAGAGCAGAGACTAATACTTAAGACAGGTCTATAAAGTCCTACAAACACAGTAACAAAAAAAAAAAAACTAACAACATGATGCAAAAAAATGGTCAAGAATTTAAATGGCACTTCCTTAAAGATATAAAGCCACCAAACATATAAAAAATGTTCAACGTGATTAACCATTACGAAAATCAACACAACAATGAGATATTAGTTCCCACGCATTGGAATGCCTCTTATACCTACATGGTTTCGAAAGTCACTCAAAAACAAGCAATGACAAGAATATGGAGAAACTGGAACTCCATGTATTGTCATAGACATATAAAATGATGCTGTTGCTATGGAAACATATGGACATTCTTCAAGAAATAAAACACAGAATTACCATATAATCCAGACATTCCACATTTGGTATAAAATTGAATACACTCAATGGGGGATGCTACCCAAATGTCCGATAAATAAATAAAATGTAGGGTGTCTACATACAATGACACACTATTCAGCCTTAAATAGAATTTTTCCAAAATAAATTTGGCACTTAACAACAATTGAGGTAAGCACTGGTGGCTCACACCTGTCATCGAAACTACTCAGGAGACTGAGATCTACAGATTCAGGTACAAATTGATGATGTTTAAAGTATTCAGAATTCCAGCTAGGAAGAGATGATTAGAGACTGCAAAGGAGGCAAGTGACATTGTACTGCAATGGGGATTCTGGCTGGATGTGTGAAAAGTAGGCCCAAGATGGCTCAGAGAAGGCAACAATAAAGTTACTCTACTGAAACAGCATTTTCAGTCTATTCTCTATCTGCACAGCCCCCAGCATAATCCAGGCCTCCATTCTTTCTGGAAATCGCTTAAAATATCCTGATAACGGGGCTTCCTGCATAAAAGGTCTCCTGGAAATGTGGATGTGATTTCTACACAATCTGAGAGAAAGGCTGCACTAGCTTCTCGTTGTCATCATGATAAAATCCCACTCGTGGCCTACATCTTGGCTTTGGCCTTGGCCTACAGGGCTGTGAGAGAAATCCCGTTGACACCCCATTGACATCAGAGGGCCCACCCACCATGCTCCCATTTCACTATTCTCACAACTTCCTGCCACGCTTACCTCTCAGCTTCTTGTATACAGAGGTGGACCTCACCCACCTCTGGGCGTTTCATTTGCTAAGGCTTTTACTTGGATCACTATCCCCCATGTGATCTTCCTGTGGATTCTTCTTAGCTTTTAAAGGTCCCAGTTCAAATAATAAGTGCCTCAAAAAGACCTAGCCTCTTCTCTGAATGAGAACTCCAGTTATCAGTGTTCATCTCCATATGCCATGTTGAAACTAGATCTTGACTGTTTCCTTAATCAGATCATAGTGTTCTGTTGGCAGTGACAATCATGTCCGAAGCAAAGTGCCTCGTACATATCAATATAAATAAATGAAATCAAATAGGCATTGAGGAAAATGTGGATGCCAATGCTCAGCATTGGGATTCTTGGGAGAAGCGGCAGAGTGTCACTCAGAAAGGGACACACAGGCAATGGCCGGAAGTCCCTTCTTGGGAAAAGACAAGAAACTCACAGTTACCATTGGGTGTCAATGTGAATGCTGGCAAATAATTGGAAGAAAAAAACCCAACAACTCTGGACAGCAGAAACTTGAAGGTAAACTATCTTTTCTTCCACAATGGCTCTGAGAATATCTACCAACTTGGGGTGAGAAGAAGCTAGATAGAAGAATAATTACATACCAAATTTTCTATAGATAGCTGAAACTGTTTAATTTCACGAAGGGTCTCATTATCTCTTTTCACTTCATTCACATATTGTGCCAAGTCCTAAAGAATAGAGGGAAAGGGACAAAAAAGAAAACACACTAAGATTAGAGGAGAGATGCAAACTGCTTTGAAAGAAAATACAGCATTCCTTCCCTTAATGAGGAGAGCAAGCACCATAACTTTTCCACCATAATGAAGTGAACACCCAATCAATCAAAGCTGCGGCTCAAAGGCAATTTTCAGATGTCAGAGATACAGCTGGGAAAGCTGAAAAGTTGTCAGTTTTCCCCCACCCTGAAAAGGAGAACGATGGTAATGTCTTTAAAAATCCCCAAACGAACAAAACAGCAAAAGCTTTGTAAAGCAACAAAAGAATGTGAATTGCAAGCATATTAATATCTGGCCTTGAGAGGGTTTATCTTAACTCAGATTACAGCAAGGTTAATAAAGAAGTATTAGTAAAGAGAAAAGAAGTAACTGCAAGTTGTACCAAGATTGTCTTCTGTAACAGTTAGTTACAGTTAGTAATGGTTAGCTCTTGACAGCATTCAGTCAAGCAAGCTAGTTCAATTTGAAGGAGTTAATAAAAGAGAGGTAAGGAATTGAACAGCCCACAGAAATGAACTTTGAAGTCAACCAAACACCTGGTCATGTTTCTCCATGTGTCTTCACCTATTTTTTTTAAATAGCTTCTCATATTTGAGGAAATATTAGCTAACCTTCCTATGCTGTAACTAGCTATTTTTATTTCCAGTGCCCCAGATTTTTTCCTGTTTTCTGAGCTCTTTTCCTTTCTTCTCTGGCCTCTTAAATTCATCTACAACACAGTTTGGCAGAAAGGCAACTCCTAACTTCGTTCTAAAGAAAGTCTGAGTTCCACAAAGTGGATCTATATATACATGGCTTCTTTAAAGAGAGGAAACTTTTTTGTAAGAATAAGTAATTGTGTGATGTGTACTCATAGTGGTATTTAGATCAGCTAAACAGTGGAGCTAACAGAGAAGCTGGAAAAGAGACGCAGTTAAATAATTAGGCATAGCTCTGGGCAAGGAAACATAATTTAGTTTTTAAGAACAAGTATTTTATTATGTTTAACTGATGAGTAACGACTTCTTTCAAAGTCATCTTGATTGAACAAAAATGGGGTTTGATGTATCACCAGATATATTCAAAATCCCTTCTTTTATCTACCTGTAGTTCTTACCTCTCAGGCCTAACTAAAAACCAAGAAAATCTAAACATAAATTCACTTCTACACAGAATCCAAGCCTAGTGAGGACCTCACATGAGGAAACTGAGTCACACTGGCATTCCTGAAGTTACCAGCTGTCCTGCTGTTGACACGTGCCATGGCTTTCTCTTACATAGCAGGAGAGGGATGTGAAATAAAACCATCCTGTGGAATCACTTCCTCTTGGTTGTAAAAGTTGGCAAACTTGCGCAAATGCTCTTTTAATAAACATCTTGGTCTCGTGTGTTTTTGTCTTGCAATGAAATCTGTGCAAGGATACCTACGTCAGTGCATTAGTGCACTCTCCCCACCAATTAAAACTCATTGTATAATAGGTTAGACTACCACATGGGCCTGTAAGCAGTTTGAAGTCTACTGAAACAGGCAAGAATACAAAGTCATCAATTGAAAGGAACCACAGGCACCACCTCACCTTCATTGCATCAAGAGCCTGCTTCAGGTTTGCCTTCTCCGTAGGATCCAGGGTATGTTTGACCAGCTCCTGTTTGCAAAGTTGACCCAGCGAAAATAAGCCATTATTATTAATACAGCATGTGCTCTTATCATCAAGAATTTCAAACTGTGAGAAGATCCAGGAGACACCAAAAAGCATGCCACGTGCTTGGCAATGCTTTCTTTCCAAAGACCAGTGGGAATTCCACCCCCCACCACGACACCAATACTATCCCCAAATGTTAGGAAGGATCTCTAACTTGCCAACGAAATGAACGAATACCTTTAACTTCTCTCTGGCTGTTCTTTTTTTTTTTTTTTGACACTATTGGGGTGTGAACCTGGGTCTTCTGTTTGCTCAGCTCAGCTGTGCTCTACAACTTGAGCCAGGCCTCCAATTCTGCTTTCTGCTTTCCTGCCCACTCTATGGCTTCAAACCACCATCCTCCACACCTTAAACTTCCTAAGCAGCGAGGATTCCCAGCATGAACCACCAGTGCCCAGCTACACAGGGCTTTTCTGTAGCTTTGGATTCTCACATCTACTTCTCCATTTCAAGGACAGCAGAATGCTCTACCTGTTGCTATTTGTTATTATTTTTGCCTGCTCAGTTTTACATAGTTGATGAGTTATCTTTTGCATGTGTGTGGGGGGGGGGTGGGCAGTACCCAGGTTTGAACTCAGGGCCTTGTGCTTGTTAGGCATGGCCTCTACCTCTGAGCAACTTCCAGCATGCCTACATTTTACACAGTGACTTTTCTCTAGATTTCCCTAGCCCCTTTTATTTCTAGTTGCTTTTTTTTAAAATCATCTACAAGACTCTACTACTACTAACATCCAAATATCAAGAGTCACACTCTCAATTCACAGCTAAGTTCAATACTCACTGACCCAACTAAATAATTCAACCTGGCTACCTCAGTTACAATTAAGACTGGAGCATGTTAGATGTGAGCCACCATGCCCCAAACTTAATCTACCATCACCCAGAAGCCTTCTCTTGTTTCTACTTGTGTTTGATCAAATTGGCACATGCATCCACGTGTAATCATGTGAGTCATAAACTCAAATATGTTCCAGACTCCATCCTCACCTTTTCTTTACCATGTCCTACCTTCTTTTTTTTGGGGGGGGGGGAGTTTTTGGTATCTGAATCAAGGCTTTGTGCTTGCACTTGGCTTTTTTGTTCAAGGTTGGTGTTCTACCTCTTGAACCACAGCTCTACTTTCTGGTGGTTGTTTTTGCTAGTTAATTGGAAATAAGTCTCATGGACTTTTCTCCCCGGAGTTGGTTTTGAACTTCAATTCTGAGATCTCGGCCTCCTAAGTAGCTAGGATTACAGATGTGAACAAACAAACCGTGTTCTACTGATGTTTACTTTGATTCTGTCCCTTGGATTCATGCATCCTCCGCGCTCCTACCTCAGATAGTTCTTGGCCCTCTTTCCAATATGGTAGGCTTCAGACTAAAGTTCTGACTTCAACTTAAAACAATCTAGTCACTCTACTGGTATCAGAGTTAGGATATAATTTGTTTTTTAAATCAGACCCTGACTCTACCTTGTATAGAACTCTGTGAGAGCCCCTAAAGGCTTGGGTTGACCACATACCTCTTAACAATTCTAGAAACTTCTCAGGCTATACTTCCAATCAACTTATATCCTATTTATTATCTACTGAATTAGTACATATTTATTATCTACTAAATTCACTGTACACCTTAAAAGAGGTTCTGCAATCTAATTTCAAGATGAATGTTGATTTCTCTCTTTACAATGCTCTTCTATGATCTGCCTGTCAAACTCATTCTTTCTTCAAAGTCCAACTCAAGAACCACCTTCTGGGAATCATCTTACACTAAATTATCAAGTATTTCCCTTGAGCTACTCCTTCATGCTGGTCCCATTTATGTACCTATATAGTTGTGTGATACTTCACAGATTACATCTCTTCTCCCCTTTTCAATGGTGAGGTTTATTAGTGTAGAACTTGTCATACTGGGAATGCCTAATGCTGTGTGAGGCACAAGGGAACCCCTCAAAAATTTTCAATGCCAGAAATGTTTCCTGTTATAAGCAGGCCCCAAAGATAAATGATTTGCTACAATGCTTGATAAGAAATGTACTCATTATCTTGCCCATGTAATTGTAACCCCTCTGTACAGTATTTTCACAATAAAAAAAAGTCAATGCATTTATTCCTAGTTTCACTCTTAGCTTATGAAAACAGTAAGTTACTGTTAAAAGTTTCCAACAATCCATAAGAAACTATTCTAATTCTCACAAAGCTGTGATTTAAACACATTAATCATTTCCAAAATGATTTCTGGCTGGGTGCTGGTGACTCCTGCCTGTAATCCTAGCTACTCAGGAGGTTGAGATCTGAATATGGCAGTTCAAAGCCAGCCCAGGCAGGAAAGTCTACAAGACTCCTATTACCAGTTAACCATCAAACAACAGCAAGTGGGGCTGTGGTTTAAGAGGTAGAACACTAGCCTTGAGCAAATAAGCTGAGGGAGAATGCCCAGGCCCTGAGTTCAAGACCCAGGACTAACACAAAATAAAAATAATCATTTCCACATAAAATTATATTGGAAAGTAAAAGATGTGCAAATGCATAATCATATTTCTTAACAGATTTCTAGTCACCAAATATTGCTATTTTGAAATAGGAAAAATATTTTTAGAATTTTAATCTATATAGGGTACTCAAAATAAAGTACTCTATTTTAAAATACCATGTAACTAAACATACTCTTGAAATTTAAAACATAAAACTACCCAAAAAATTGTTAGGAAAAGCTCACTGAGTTTCAAAAGGGTATAGTTGCATTTCATAGTACTGTAAGTCTGTGTACAACTTTGTAAGGACTAGAGACTTAGTTTAAATTGTACCTTCTAAATTCTCCAATCAATATTTGACTACACCAAAGTAACAAAATAAATTATTACCTTATTTTGGACATGTTTCTAGTTTCACAATGCCTTGAAAACTGATTGCTCCAGTTCTTCTCATTACTTGTTCATAAAACCCAATTTGACTGAGTTGCTTTGAGTTTCAATTTCATATGTGTTGTAATGCATTTTTAAGGTATAATCAGGATTTAAATTTTTTCTGATTTCTCAGTAGAACAAAAATAGAGATGACTAATAATTTTGTGGCCACAGTTCAAGAGATTTAATGTACAAGATGTACAAAGCACTACAGACCCAAAATTGCATTTCACATACAGGTAGATCTTTTTAAAATGACATTTCACAAGCATCAGCAGGGCTGACAGACTAATACAATAAGACATTTCTTTGGAGTAGAACTAATGATACTCCTGGTAAAAATATCAAATTAAATTTATAGGACTCTCCACCCTCATTAGAGGACTAACCATGAAAATCATAAGCTTTGTGGGTTATAACAAAAATCACTTCAAAATAAAGGTAGAACAATAAAAAGCAAGAAATAAACTAGTATAAGAGGTCTGTTAACTATAGAAGACTTGATTTTAAAAAGAAAAAGAAATCATCTAGCTACCTAGACAGTTCATATTTAGCAATAATAATAATAATAATTTAATATTTTTAAGGGCCAAGTCAGTCACTGATGGTTCATGCCTGTAAAACTAGCTATTGGAAAGGCGAAATCTGAGTTTGAATGCAACCCATGCAGGAAAGTTTGTAAGACTCTTGTCTCCAATTAGCCAGCAAAAGGCCAGAAGTGGAAGTATGGATCAAGTGGTAGAGTACCAGCCTTGAGCAAAAGAGGTAAGGGACAGTGTCTAAGCCTTGAGTTTAAGCCTCAGTACCAGCACCATACACACAAATATACATAAATGAAAGAAAATAGGGTCCATGGAGAATCTGCAGTTGATACTTCATTAATATATTGCTGGGCAAATAAAATATCCACAAACAACTTTGTAACATACCTGAAGAAGAAGGTGATACTTTAAGACGCGCTGCATAGGAACCACAAGCAGATCTCGAAGAGTAAATTTCCCATTATTTGCTCGCTTAGAACATTCCTAATGAAATAGTATTAAAAATTCTTGTCAGTTTTCTCAAAAGGGGGGGGCAGTCATCAACCCTACAAGAAAGAAAAGTGCACAAGGAGCACCCTTATACAGTAAGGGTTTTTTTGCTCTTTAAATATTATTAAGTATTTTCCATTAAAGAACCAACAAGCCTTACCATATTTCAAACTAACTACAAATGAGCGGAATAAGATTTGTGTCTTATGAATGGAAAGTATTTTCTGTAGCACAAAGCCATGACCCTCTGGAGTCTTTCTCTTAGCTCTACCTTCCACCTTTCCAGCAGGATTATGAACCAGACATGGAGACCTCATCCCTATTCTTGCCTTCCTGTCACCACACCTTGCTTTATTCACTCCTGCCCGACTGCCATGTGCCTTCTCCCAGTCTCCAGAAAAATCCATCCACCTCTTTAAGAAGTAATCTTCTAGCCAAGCCCAGGAGGCCCACACCAGGAAATCCAGCTACTTAGGAGGCTGAGATCTAAACAACAAAGTTTGAAGCCAGCTATGACAGATAAATCCACAAGGCTCTTATTCTCACAATTAACCAGCAAGAAGCTGGAGGTGTGGCTCAAGTGGAAGTGTGCCACCCTTGAGCAAAATAGCCAAACAAGAATATATGGTTCTGAGTTTAATTCCCAATACCATCAACCCCTCCCCGCCATACACACACAAAGTAATCTTCTACGGTATTAGGAAAAGCCCCAATCAAAAATTTTCTCAAGCTGGGCGCTGGTGGCTCACGCCTGTAATCCTAGCTACTCACAGGAGGCTGAGATCTGAGGATCCCGGTTCAAAGCCAGCCTGGCCAAGAAAGTCCGTGAGACTCTTATCTCCAATAAACCACTAGAAAACCAGGAGCGGCCTATGGCTCAAGCGGTAGAGCATTCACCTTGAGCTGAAGAGCACAGGGACAGCACCCAGACCCAGAGTTCAAGGCCCACGACCGACCAAAAAAAGAAACCAAAAACTTTTCTCAATCCTCCCTCTCCCTCCCTCCTTCCATATATACATATGCCTCAATTATTGTTATTCATAATATCTGCCCCCACACATACATAAGTCTTTTAAGCCTCTGTCATTTCCTTAATACATATGTATTGAACTAAATGAAATGAAGTATTTGACTGAAGATTTGCTAAAATACAAATGGCTACTACTCTACTTAACATTTTTTAAAGTGTTAGAATATATCAATTTAATCTTACATTCTTCTTAAAAGTTTACTTTACAATAAAATGGACTTCATTCTTTAGACAGTAATGACTTTGAAGAAGGTAATTTGAAATGTTCTAACCTGAATTTTAAGTCATTATGTGGCTGTTCTTTTCCAATTTTACCATTTTTCACATATATGTGGTGTCATTTAAAAAAATAAAGTGTCATAAAAATACTATTATCAGTAAGCAATCTCAAAATCTAATGCCATTACCCATTCAGACCATGGGTTTTCTTGGCTCATGGCAGGAATTGTATGTAAGGAAATACTGGTGCTCAGGTGAATTTTATTAAAGTATACTGTATGCATCTCTATAAATACCAATGAAACCCCTTGGTACAATTAATGTCTGCCAACTGAAATTTGTCTGAAAAACAGAAAGCAATACAAAGGGTGAATATGATCCAAGTACATTATATGCATTTATGTAAATACCCCCAATGAAACCCTTTGTGCAAGTAACATGCATAGATAAAAAAAATTCTAAAAATGCTGTACACTGGTGGCTACCTCCTGAAATCTCAGCTACTCTGGAAGCTGAGATCTGAGTTCAAAGCCAGCAAGAACAGGAAAAGTCCATGAGACTCTTATCTCAAATTAACCACAAAAAAAAGCCAGAAGTGGAGCTATGGTTCAAGTGGCAGAGCACTCACTAACCTTGAGCACAAAAGCTCAGGGACAGAGCCCAGGACCTGAGTTCAAGCCATGCAAGTCCCAGGACAGACACACATGCCAATAAATAAATAAATAAACAAAATTCTGAAGGTGACAGTTAATTAGAGGGGACACAGGAGGCTGGAAGACAGCAGGGAGAACAATGGCAGTGAGGACATTAATCAAGCTATATTGTACTCATAAACTGACATGTTGAACTGAAAGTCCTTTGTACAACTACTAGAAGATAATAAAATAATACCAATAAAATTGTAATTTAAAACTAATTGCGAAAATGAAAAAACAAAAATCCTCATGCTCACAAGTTTGTTTCCCCTTTGCCCACACTAATATTTTCTGGCGCACTAAAAGATACATGTTACCAGGAGCTATGAAGCAAACACCATTAATTATAATGACTGTTGAGATTTAATTAATGGGATGTCTGACTATAGATTTTAGGCAAAAAAAAACACCCCACAACACAATTTCAACTGATTTCCTTCCTTCCTTCCTTCCTTCCTTCCTTCCTTCCTTCCTTCCTTCCTTCCTTCCTTCCTTCCTTCCTTCCTTCCTTCCTTCCTTCCTTCCT